GATAAATGCCTGGTCACAATGGCACTGAAAGTTGGCTCTTTGAAGTCTCTTTTTTTCCACATATTAAACATTTTTAAAAGGGACAGTTTCAAAGGCAAAGCAATTTCAAATACAAATTTGAAATTTATGACCCAAACTTGAAATTTGCTAAGAAGAATTCTTAGCACAAAATAATGCTAATTAATAAAGAAAAGTGGTGAAACTTGGCAGTGATGAGCATATTTACAGCATGGACTATAAAACCATCATATAGATGTAGAACTTATCTCCAAAATCTTTAAGTTGTAAACCTTAAATATGTTGAACTTCTTGTATGTCAGTCATACTGCCATCATTTTTAAAAAGTTCACTGCTAGAATTTATTTTCACTCTTAAAAAAAAAAACGTTAACACTTCTAAAAATAATTTATGGTGAATTTTATTGACTAATCTACTTTCCTGCTTTGGGGGCTAATGCTGTTTCTTACTTTCCTCTTGCTCAAGTTTTCTCAACAATGTCACTATTCCCTCTATTCCCTGCTTTTCTCTTCTCTCCTCTTCCTCCTTCTCTCTTCCTCCTCACACCTCCTCCTCCTTCCTCCCCCCCGCCCTCTCTCTCTCTCCTAATACTAGTGACTGAACCCAGGCCCTTCACACTGCGGTGCATTCCTGGCCCATTTTATTTTATTCTAAGATAGTTTTAGCTAAATTGCCCAGAATGGGTTTGAATTTGTGATCTTCCTGCCTCAACCTCTCAGAGTGCTGGGATTATAGGCATGCACCACCAAGCCCAACCACTGTTACTCCCTTCAACATTGGTTCTCTGTTATTGCTTCTGTTCTTCTAGGATTCCTACGACATGTGCCTTACCCACATCTTTCATCTGGGCATTCATATTTTTATCTGCTCTAATCTGGATGCTTTCCTCAGTAAACATCTTCTCTCTGACTCATTCTCCCTTTGTGTCCAGAATGAGACTAATCTTGTTGAGATTTTTTTCATTTCAATCATTTTTTTTAATTCTTGCATTTGTAATCACTTTATGAACACGTCTTCTTGCTTTATTTCTGGGTTTAGTTATATCCTCCCTCACCCTTGTGAAGGCTAGTCTTTATGTAAAGATTCTGTGTGCACACGCCTCTGAACTGCTATGTTCGCCCATTTTGAGTCACTATAATGAAATGCCCGAGACCGGGTACATATAAAGAAAAGAGAGAATTTAGCTCACAGTTTCAGAGGTTGCAAATTCAAAGAGCATAGCACCAGTTCTGGTGAGGACCCTCCTGGCTCCATGACTTCATGGCAGCCGGCACCAACACGGATGGCAGGAGTACGTACATGAGAGAAATCACACAGTGAAACGAGAAACCATAGTGTGAGGAGGGGCGTCTTCTTAGAACAACCCACTACCTCGAGAACTAATTCAGGGTCCAACAAGAACTACCTTAACCCCTTCAAGGACACCACCCCCATTACCTAAGGGTCTCCCTCCGGGCTCCACTCTCCAAGGTCCCCCCACCTCTCAAATGACACACTGGGGATCACGCATCTAGCACATGAAGCCTTGCAGCGCACGCTCAAACCAAGCCTCAGCACACCGTTTTCATTTCATCCAGACACTCTATCTCCAAATTGTTCTTTTTATTATTGTTTTCTTACCATTACTTTCCCTTCGAAGTTTCAGAATTTCAGTCTTATATTAAAAATTTCTCCCTCTTCCTCTCCCTCTTCCTCTCTCTCCCTCCCCCACCCTTCCACCCCCTTTTCCTCGCTCCTCCCTCTCCCAGTTCCCTCTCCTTGCGTGCTTCCTGCTTTAGGAATGTTATGGTTGTTTTCATTCAGCCTCCTGGGGCTCCCACTATAAAACTAGCATCCGTACTGCATGTTCCAGACCAGACATTCTTGACTTTGAAGTTAGGCGGACGTTTGGGTCTGCCTGCTTCTTCCCACCTTAATGTACTCCAGAGTCCCAGGCAAGAGTGAGATGACATTTTGAGAACTCCTTCTATTGGTAGTGTCCCTCCGTGGCCTGCACAGGCTTCAGGACCTCACCTGGAGAGGGACCCACTTCTGTCCATGTTATTCTGCAATATCAGAACCCCCTGGCTGATTCTGCTTATTTCTGGACTCAGAACCCAGCAGGTCCCAGCCTAGTTTCATCCCACTTTACACTTCTTGTTTTATTTATGCCACATAGAGATGTTTATTTTGTGTTTGAACATAACTTTGCCTTTGAATTGTGGTATGTTTTTTTTTTTAATGTGAGAGGAGGTGAGACATTTATCTGTAGGAAAGGGAGACTTCAAAGAATCAACTTTCAATGCCTTCTTGAGCAGAAATTTCCTAAACCTCTTTATAGCCTGTCTACTTTTCAACACTATCTTAGATCTCATTGCTCAAATGAGATATAGTTAACCTTTCTTTAAGTCCTCCCATTTATTTCTTTCTGAACACCTTCAGCTTGTTTTTACTTCCTTGAATCTGTGGTATCAGCTGAACAGCTAACTGTTATGCTGTGGATATTAAATGTCCCCCAAAATCTGTTAAATTAGAGGCCTCCACTTGTGACACTACTAGGAGGTGTGGAACCTTTAAGAGGTAAGACCTAATGGAAGAAAGTTAGGTCACTGGGAGCATACCCTCCATGGAAACACTGGAATTTCCTCTCTCTCTTTGCTTCCCAGCCTCCATGAAGCAAAGAGCTCTGCTCCACCACACTCCCTGCCATAACGTCCTGCCTTGCCATAGGCCCAGGAGCCAACTGACCATGCACCAAAACCATGAGTCGAATTGGACCTTTCCTCCTTTGAAGTTGATTTTCTCATGAGTAACACATGAACATTCCCCACTTACTAATGCTAATACACGAACATCTCTTCAATGGTTCCATCTGTGGAACGACCCACCCAACTTGCCAAATCATTGCTCTTTTAGAGACTCTTATCTGTTCGGATTCTCAGCTCAACCCATGACATGTGCATAGCAGCTGAGAGATAATTTTCTTCTTTACTCCAGCCTACACTACATTCTTGGTGACATCAAAATCTATCTTGCAGTTTCCTACAATGCTGACTTTAAGGTTTCGTTCTTAATGATATCAGTGGCTTCTATGAGCCAGCATGGCCCGTTCACAGGCTGTCATCGCCAGCTGTATCTCGTCCCCACCTTAGACAGACTTCACCATTAATTCCTTTTCTGTGGAACACAGATCGTTTCCTGCATTCTGGAATCCTCCCTCTTCTCTTCGCCTAACCCTACCTCTGTCATTCTCAAATTGTGTCGTCTTTGTTATGTGTATTTTCACTGATTCAGTGGTTCATTAACAAAAAATGTGTAGCAACCCTGCTAGATTCTAGGTTCTCATTAGGTTCTAGGATAAGAGGAATACAGCAATGGTTCCAATGCCATGCCAACCATACTCTGAAGAAGTGCATAAGCTAAAATAGGAGGAAATGCACTTTCAGAAACAAGGGTCATGAGGAAATTCGGAGGATGGACAAGCTTCATGGAAGAGGCATCATTTGAAGAGAGTCTTGAAGGAATGGGGAAATCCTGACTTGAACAGATAAGAGGAAAGAGACCCAGGAAAGAGAAGAATGTTAAATTAACAACTGCCTTCTCAACTAATTTCCTTAGGAATAGGAATCATGTCTCTGTTGTTGTTTTGTTTTCTTTTGTTTTGTCTCTTTCTAGAAGTGCTGTGCTCACATCTACGTATAAAGGAGCTCAATAGATACTGAATGAATAATGTTATTAAATATGGTGTGAAGTATCTTTCCACACCCCGATCTCTGCCTTGCTGCTCACGGAAGAATTTTTCCTTTGGTAATTCATCCCAGTGATGATTACATGTGTCTCCTCTGCGGACCATGTTAGGAGGAATAGTATAGAGATGAGCCAGCGAAGCACCCTTGGCAGAGACAGTGCTTGGGAGTGCCTCAGGCTTGCAGGCTCGAAGTCTGCTGGTACCCATCCAGGGGAAGCAAGGGAGACCTTCAGGCAGTTCGCCTATCGAAGGTCACAGCCCCACAGCCTGAGGCTTCCCTCTTTCTCTGAAGAGTCTGATATAAATATAAGGAATTTTCCAATGAAAAGGTATCCTGGGGGCACATTCTCCCGGGCCTCCTCCCTAAAAAAAGAAAATGGCATCTCCCCCAGGAAGAGAAAGTCTAAAGGGTAGCCCTTGAGGCAAGGGCTTTGTCTCTGAAATACACACGGAGGCTTCTCCTGACACTATTGTCTTCTTATATTTGAACCTTCTGTTCTCGGGGGCTGTCTTGCTCCCAGGCAGGCAAGGCAAACAATACCAAAAGCCAAAACTGTTATTCTGTGTGAGAGAGAGAGAGAGAGAGAGAGAGAGAGAGAGAGAGAGAGATTGTTTCTCATGCCTAAATCCTAAAATAAAAAAGGGCATCTATAAACATGCCTCCCCTATCTTCTACCAGGACTTATACACATAAGCTCAGAAATCCTTGGCTCAAAAAAATCCTTTTGCATTTGCTACAACGTTAGACATTCTGACCACCCACCATAAACACACACACACACACACACACACACACACACACACACAGAAAGAGAGAGAGAGAGAGAGAGAGAGAGAGAGAGAGAGAGAGATAAAAAACTAAGGTTAGAGTCACAAATAGTTTTGGTACAATAGGGAAGTGAAGGTCCCAATTAGACATCAGTCAAGTTTGAAACCTGACAGTGCAACTTTTTAACCACTGTATATCCTGAATTTGGATTAACAGTTTACCCTGAGCTTCACTAGGGCTGTGTTTGTTTACGTACTGACTATCCCAAGTGCTTCTCAGGCAGGGGTCATTTCAATTAGTCAATTCTAGCATTGAATAAACTTGATAAAGTTATGAACTTGTCATTTTTATATGTCCTTTATATTACCGTATAAAATTAATGAAAATGTGCAACTTTTGTCATCCTGTATTTAAATCATTGGACTGGTAAGTGGTTAAACTCTCTGGACTTGTTTTTGCATCTGTAAAATGGGACCACTGGGGCTACAATGTTAAAAGAGCTGCTGCAAGAGTTAAATGCACACCTGGCAAGCCCTCCCTCATGGGTAACAATTTTATTTTTATTATGATAATTACATGAATGTCCAGCACCCAGGCACAGGGGCTGCCTGAGCTGTGCGCTCACTCCCACTCTCCATCTGCTCTGTCAGAAGCAGGGAAGGGAGCTCCAGAAAGGCAGCCTGGGCTGGGACTACACAGTTGGTCGTGGAAATGGAGCAGCACAGTCCTGTCTGACCTGCTTGGTGTCTAGGCTGCACTCAGCCAAAGGCGCAGGCAGGGAAAAGTCTGGGCTCTGGAACCTGCTCAATCAACCCAAATACCTTCACTGGTACAGACTTTTGCTCTGTAAGCTTTAATGTATCCAGGTGCTAGGATATGACCCTCATTTTCACATTCTAGAAAAGCTGTCACTAGGTCTACGCACGAGTGGTGGGACTGACTCACCCAGACGCACACAGCCCCCTCTTCCTAGGCAACTGGAGAAGCGCACCACGTCACCCTGGAACCCACCGCCGTTCTGCTCTTGGTGGGTGAATGTGCTCATCAGGCTGCAGGAGGGTGTCCACGGGGAAGGGTTCTTCCTGTAACCAGCCCCCCTGGCCAGAGCTACGCACAGATGGGGTGCATCCTGTCTGCCACAGTCTGGACGCTGTGTTCTCAGAAAACCCAACACTAATTAACAGCAGACCTGGCTCAGACAAGCTCTGTTTGGAAAAATGTGTGCTCATTCACTGCGCTCCCCGTCTGCATCTTTCCACACAGAACCCAACTCCTCTCTTCCCACCCCAGGCATCTTTCACAGCCTGTCTGGTTGGACTGGGAAAAATCACAAGATGGCTTTGTGAAAACACCTGGAAAGCATCTGTCTGCCATCGTGTAGCTGATTGCAGGTAGTTCTGGGGGAGAGGGTTAATAACACTAATGAATAAGCCTAATTGATTATTAAGCACTATTAGCCTGGCAATAACACCACCTTGGAATCCTGCCAATTCCTGTGACTTCGTTTCAGGGAATCTTAATTTTTCTAGGGAATGAGGAATGCAGGACAGATCAGGATATCTGAACTAGCAAATTGCAGAGGATTCTGGATCCCTAAAGTGATCAATGTGAGTAATATAAGCATTTAAAATATGTATACCAATTGCATCCCCAAGCACCTGGCAGACTTAATTTCATTAAAAGTTCTCCACAAGGTTTTAGATTTATAGTAATAACCATCATCTACTGTTCCTAGGAGATAGGATAGTGGATGACAGGTTAGGAGTGGTAGGCTAAATCTGAAACAAGTCTCAATTATTCTTTCCCTTTTTTTTCCTAATAAAAGTGTAAATTCAGAAAATACATATTAAGAAAACATTCAGACTAAGGAGTATAGGTTAAATTGTGTGATTTGGAATGCTTTGGTAGTATTTTGAAGGAGTATTCTGGTAGTATTTTATGTTATTACAATCCAGGCATTATGCTAGGCACTACAGAGAGGTAGGCATAGGTTTTATAAAAGCTCATAGTCTAGGTAAGGGAGAGAGATGCATAAAGACCAATTTCCTGCAATGTGGCTGGAAAAATATCCTGAAAGCAACAGTCTGCTATCAAACAACACACTTGTCACGGTTTTAGAGGTGGAGTGACAAGGATACAACACACTTGATAATGCATTACCGAACCCACAAGAAATCTCCAGTACATTCAAACCTTCCATCCTCACTGCCCCTGAAAGGGTGAGCTACCTACTGGCAGAGAAGAGCTCCATGCAAATGCAAAGCCAGAGATGCCCTACAGGCAGATCCTAACAGCACTGCGCTATCTGAGTACTAATACAGACTTCTGTGTCTGGTCTCAGGGCCTGAGAGTGCCACGGTGCTGCTCTGAGCAGTTCCACGCAGCTATTTGCTTTGCTGTCTTGCACACGAACCAGTGATTCCTCATTTGGAGCTATCGGAGGGTGAACAGTCCTCCAACTGCCCAGAAGGGGGACAGGGAGGGCTAAAGAAAATAAAACAATGGAAATGCGTAATTTCAAAGTATATGGGTGGGGAGGTCAATGCCTCCGAGTGGACAAAATCGAAGACTCTCCGAGCTAGCCATTATCTATTGAGCACACACAATAATTAGAGGAAGCATCGGGTGACGTAGAGGACAGCGGTGACCCTATGTCACGAGGATGTTATGTTGATGAAGGTGGTCAGCACAGCATTCTTACAACAGTAGGTAGAAAAAGACAGCAAGCTAAAAAGAAGTTGTCCTTCACCCAGGTGAAAATTTTCTCTTTTTTATTACTGCTCAGTTCTTGAAGAACCCGGATGTCCTCAGCTGCCCCTTAGCGTCACAGTATTAGGAGAGCACTGAGGCTTCAACTTGTGACTGGAGGCAAAACAGAGCTATGTTTCCTCCTGCCATAGGCGGCTCAAGGGCAAGGTGACATTGGGCCTTAGACAGCTATAGTCATACTTTTATTATGAAATAACTTTCCCCCAAATTTTATGTAGAATGGCTCTTGACAGGAGCAAGTGTGTGTGTGTATCATTTTTGCCTCCTTTGAATCTTTTGGTTAAACAGAAATTAATGAGATTCTGTAATGCAAGAGCAGTTTGGCTCTGGCCTGCCGTAGTCGTGAGGGATGATGGGGAATATCCAGTTTCCACCACACAGGAGGCAGAGCACCCATAGGGACACCTTCTCTTCCCTGTAAAGGCCAATGGTTTGCTTTGATACAGAAGAGTCAGAGCTCTCCCAGGTGGCAACTGTCATGAGGGGAAAGGATAACGATGAGCTGAGACACAAAGGCGGAAAGAAGCCAAATCTTTCTTGGGAGTATAATTCTACTGGGGAAGATGTAAGAGGATTTGGGGGGAAAGAGAGAATTTCAGATAAACCAAAAAGAAATATTCAAGAATGGTTTCCTTATGTACGCAGGTACTCGCTTCCACAGTACTCTCCTGCATTCGTTCATTCACTCACAGGGATTACTGAGGAAAAAAAAATACACACACACAAGTCCAAGTCAGGACAGGAGCAGGTTCAGTCTGTGGTGACGGCTCACTCTGCTTCATAGATGGCACTTCTTGCTGTGTCCTCACACGGTGGGAAGGGCAAGCTACTCATACAGGCCCCTTTTAGAATCCTATCCACAAGGGCTCTACCGCTGTAACATAATCATCGCTCAAAGACACCACCAAGTTTCTGCAAAGTTTTAAGAATGTCCCTGTAAAAGAGAAAAATGTCATGTGAAGACAAAGACAATGACATGATACACCTGCAAGCCACAGTATGCCAGTGACCGACCACCACCACGAGAAATCAGAAAGAGGCAGAAGGATTCCACCCAGGATCTTCTGAGGATCATGTCCCTACTAACACCCTGACTGGTATCCTCCAGATCTGTGGGAGAACACTTAGCTGCTGTTTAAAGCTACCCGGTTTGTGGTAGTGTGTTACAGCAGTCCCCAGTAGAGGGTTAAGAGAACTAATGGTAGCTCACACAAGTTCTGCCAGCTATAGTACTACCCCATCAGATCCATCCACCCTAGCACTGGTTCCACCATTTTTTCTATTGCACAGGGCTCGGCCCACATTATTTTCTAACTGGCCCATATCTATCTGCATGTTTGCATCCATACACTGAATTCCAAGATTTAATCTGCTTGTGATGATGGTTGTAATTAGTCTGCTTTCCTAGCTCCTCCTCTATAGATACATTTATCCCTGTTACCCTTGTCTAGAAAACATGCCAACCTATCTGTCTTGTATTTCTCCTATTTTTTTCACTCTTAACTCACTTCTCTATCTCAAAACCATCTGGAGGAATGAGTCCTAATCTTCCCAGACTATTTCTCTTTTACCTTGGAACCCCTGGATATGTAGACCTTGATCTGCAGGAACATACATCTGGTGGAATTTTGTGTTCTTACTGTCAGATTGATGGAGAAGTACTTTGGGCAGTTTCTTCCAAATCTCCTTGACCTACGTAAACGTGCAACTGACCCAGTTCAGAATCACAGACTTACAGTGGTTCTTCTTGGCTTAGTCTTTGACAGCTGCCATGGTGCCTTGCATGGCAGTAGGTAGTCTTTTTAACTTTATGTTCTAAAGTTTATGCCAACAAACTGAAACCTATGAGTCAATAAACCCAAGGACTGTTTCATGGTCCATGAACTAAAAAGAAGAATGGGACTGGGGAAGGAGTGGAAAGGGGAAAGAAGTATACAGGGAAATCACAGATGGTAGACAAAGCCCAGAATATTTACTATCTGACTCATTTCAGAACACATAAAAAGATGCTACTGTATCAAATTTATAAGACAATTTGGATGAAAGTGTCTGTTATCCTCAGGTATTCATTCAAAACAGGTCAGTTTAACTAGATTATCCTTTGTCTCTAGAAGAAATTGAAACACACTATTTTCTAAAACTCTGGAAGCTCACAAAGTTAGGAAGGTAATATTGTTTTTGTAGCATTAGGTAGGATTTTGTAGATGACCCCTCAAAGGTTACAGGCTGCTGTTCTGTGAAGATTCGGTGTCAAATTCATACCTTGAGTACCAGGAATAAGGGAGGACAGCCACTCAGGAGTTGCCCAAGTAGTCCAGCAAAGCCTGTGGGAAGGAAGTTTGGTGGTACCACCTAGAGAATTGTGTGGTCACCCTCAGTCTGCAGGGTCCCAACACTTTTGAATGTAGCTTGAGAAAAATGGTTGGAAGAAAGAGCAAAAGTCCTTTCTCTACATACATATCACTTTGTACTGCCTTGATCCTCTTTCACCCCAAACAATTCCATCACACTTTAGACACACATGCTAAGAAGAGTGCTGCTGCCCAGAGCAGCAACTGTCCCACCTTTCAATCACTGGGGTGGTCCCAAATTCCCCTTAAAGAAAAACCTGCATATCATGCATGCCATGTAGTGTGTCAAGCCCACCTCACTACCACCATCGCTGTCAAAGGAGGACATTTCTACTTGTTTTCTGTGCCTCCTCCTCAGATTCACACTCTGCACACAATACTGAGCTAATGCCGTTCTTTCTTCCAAGCCACAAGCTTTTTTTTAGTTGTATTGCACACATGCTCTTGGTCATGCACTAATCTTTTTGTCTACGGCAGCGAAGACAGAGATCTCTGCCAGACGTTAGAGCACGAAGGGCAATGATAAATGAGTAGCACATCAAATTACAGCCTATTGGTTACCCATCCTGTTCTGGCAGCTTCTGTGGCCACTATGCTTCAGCAGTCATCCAGGACCTTAGCTGTCCTGTAAATTTGTAGTTACATTATGTGACTTTGTGGCCTCTCCTCCAGGCCCAGAAACGTGGCATTGCATTGCCACCATGGAAAAGAGAGTATTCTGTGCTGGGAGCCTTTCTAAGGGCGTCTATTCAAACCGAGCTGGAGCTAAGGTCTCCGCAGATTCAGCTACTGCCTTGCATCAGTGTTTGGGAGAACATAGTCCAGGTCCCTCCCTGCCCGTTGGGGGCCATCCTCTGATAGCTGTTTTGCACATTGGGAGGAGGTTGCTTGGTTGCTTTCCCCTAGCCTCTCCCTTTGACTTGCATGCAGGGAGCTGCACTCGCAGCTATTAATTCCCAAAACTCATCAGTGAGTGTTGAAATGTAGTTACATGAGTTTGTGCCTCTCGGCAGGCCTGAGCTCCAGGGTATCTTTCTAACTATGTTAGAAGAGCAAGTAGTGATAAAACTTAGGTCCCAAAGCTTGATTTTAAAGTGTGAAAGCTAATATAGATGTTTCTGGTTACCAGTAGGGAGGATTTTTCTTTTAGAAAATGATCTCTGTCCTTTCACTTACTAAATCATTTGACGGGCATCTGTTGTGTCTACTCCATGCCAGATATTGTGCTACACCCTTGTAAATAGAGAGACGCCCAAAGCACAATCCTTAGCCTCCAGGAGCTCAAAGTCAGTGAAAAAGCCTAAGAAAAAGAAAAAGAGGACCGCTGGAGACTCTTAAAACACTACTAGTCATCATATCTTTTTTTTTCTGCTTTAGAAATCTTAGAAAAATATGCAAAAATGGAGCATTCATCAGTCTAAGTCCCTGAGTGATTATAAGGCATAACCCCTGGTCAATTCACACGAAATAAACTTCTGTTGTGTTAAACCAGGTACTTGGGGGTTACTTGTGACCACAGCACAACTTAGCCTATCTTGACCAACATACACTATCTCTGTAAAATGAGGGTTTTTTTGGCTTTAGTGATCCAAGAAGAACTCTGCATGTCAGGACCACTCTGTTATTTGAAGGACTCCTGGATACATGAGCTAAATCCAAATGACTTGCCCTGTGGCAGCCATGGGCCACAATTAAAGCTCTTGCCTCAACCTTCCTTTGCGTCACCTCTTGTAGGTTTCCTATCAAGTTTGCCCTGAGTCATTAACAAATCTCCCAGCTACGGCATGCCCTGAGAGCAACCCAGAAATCCAGCATTCAGAGCAACCTGTGCTTCCTTTTATCATGGCTCTTAGCACACTGTTTTTTTGTTTTGTTTTGTTTTTTCTGTTTGTCTCTCTAGTCTATGAGCATAAATGATGCTATGAAGGTCATAGTAGCCAGTGTCTATGTTTAATGATTACATGCTGAATGAAAACATGAACCCTCCTGCTTCTACCTTTGCACACTGTGTCTCTGCCTGAGTAGCAGCAAGCCCATCCCGTAAAGCATGACACAGCATAGAGACAGTGAGGGTATGTCCTGTGATCCATTCATTTTCTGCAGGCTAATGGTGCACTGAGAAATCCAGCACTTGGCATCTGCTCTGCTTCTCATGCCTTAGCTGTGTGGTCTCCAGTAAGCCACTTAAGCTCTAAGTTGTTGTGAGATTTCAAATGGGATAATGGACATAGTTTGTAGACTATCAGAGTTGGGAGGGACTCCCAGGTATCATGCAGTTTATACTTTAATTCATCTACCCAATGTAAATTAGGAATAGAGCCCCAGGCTCCTAAAGCCCAGCTTGAAGTTTGAAAACAGTCAATAAAAGATCAATACTATCATGGATATGAAAACAAGTACCTTAAAGAATATGACCTGGATGTGTTGTTTTGTGTTTTCTATTATTTAATCCTCCGATTCTTGCTGGAATGAGAGTGGGGGTTTTCCTTCAGCCCACCCAGCATACAAATGCCTTACTCACAAATTAAGTTCTGGGGAAGCATAAAGCCTGCTTACAATTCTGATGGGCGGCTTACCCTTGCTAAAATGATTGGCTAAACAGATTAGCTCTGTATCCCTAGAGCAGATCCTCATCCGGTGGCTTGTAAACACTTTGGCATAAATAATTCCATACTAAAATAGAAGAGTTGATTGGAATTTAAATAAATATTTGCATAAAATAGACATACTCTGCATTGAGCACACAATGAACAACTAAAAGCTCCTCTGAATCAATGAGTAAAATTATACATAGTCACCTCTGGGGGGTGACCTGGATCTCAACGGAGGCATCACTGAGCTGGGCAATCTCAGAGGCATGAGGATTTGCATACAGAAAATCAGTACATATACAGGTATTTAAGATATCCTACGTGGACTGCGGTAAGGCAGCCTGGTGTATAGTATATCACGGAACCCATAAGGTAAATGGATGTTATAGTAGTAGTGTTCCTCTTACAGGCAGGTAACCCAGGTGTACACATTCTCCAGCTTCTTGGATTCTCCTGTTCCCCCTTCCCTTCCCCGTCTACTTTTCTCTCTCCCACCCTTTTTTCCTCATCCTCTTCTTCTCCTTTCTCTTCCTTTTCCTCTTCTTCTCCTCCTCCTTTCGTCCTTCTTCTGTCTCCCTCTCCCCTCTTCCTCTTCCTCCTCTGAGACAGGGTCTTGCTAAGTTGCTCAGGCTGATTTTCAGTTGCAAACCTCCCACCTCAGCCTCACAACTCCATTACAGCCATGTGCCACCACAATCAGCTATGAGTTTCATTCTTAAATATCAATAATCATATTGAAACTGGAACACCACAAAAATTCATTCTTCAGGTGGTTTGCGTCTCCATATGATTTTCCAGAAGCTTTAAAGATGTTCATGTGCTCTCTGAATCTACCCCTTGGCCAGACTTCCCTGCTGGAGAGTTTGGCAGGTGGACTTCTGGTACTCGATTTCTTCATGGTCCTACTGTTTCCTCTGCCTCTTTTTAACACACTGGTGGACCTTCTAATTGCAGCCAGGGATGATCTGTAAGCATTTTGAAGAACTTTCTATCATTTATATTATGTTTATAGTTTGAAGAACCAAATAATACCACAATGCAAGGTGTTAAAATGTGTGACCCTCACACTCCCTATCTGCCCTCATCAATTTCCTCCACCCATAAACCGCCATATGTTATATATAATACTTTATATATATATATAATACATTCGCATTAATAGATTTGTTTATACATGTATTTGTGTGTGCACACATTAATTTACCATCATAAGTAACGAATATTTTACTCTAATTCCCACCTGCACCACCTACCTCTTATCCCATATACTTTTTCCCATTCTCTCATCTTCTCAACATAGTTACACAATCTTAGTCATAACAGCCTTGAGTAAAGACTCTACTATGGATCTATAAGTGCCGTTTACATTTGAGCTACAGACTGAATGTTTGCATCCTCCTGACAGTCGTACATTAAACCCTAACTTCCAACTCAATGCTATTAGGAGGTGGGAACTTTGGGAGAGTAGGTCCTGATTAGCTCATGAATGGGATTAATGCCCATATAAGTTGTGCCCCAGGGAGTAAACTTCTTTCTCACTATGTGAAGACCCAGCCCAAAGGTGGCCATCTGTGATCCAACGGGTGGGTGCCTTGATCCCAGACTCTTCGGCCTCTAGGTCTACATGGAATATATTTCTATTGTCTGTAACCACCTAGTCTATGATAACTTGTTCTAGCATAAACAGTTACTTTTAAATGTATTTGTTTTGTTTCCCTAAAGTCAGTAACTCTTTATTTTGCTTAGTTTTCTAAGTAATTAGCGCAATCTCTGCTTTAAGCCCTCCACCAATTATGTAAATCCTCTCATGAGGTGTTCTGTCAGTTTTATCTTAATGGAATCTCACCTAGTGTCTTCTGATCTGCACCAGTGTGGACCTGTAAATCTTCGCATACCCAGTGCAGTTGTCATCTTGAGGATTCCCTTTACTATTGCTTTCTGCACACTGCTTTTGCACCACCCCTTGTCCCTCCCAAGATTCACATGTTCAAATCCTAATTCCTATTGCATTGGTTTCAGAGGCAAGATCTTTTGGGAGGTGATTGTTCATGGCAGGCTCTGCCCTCAAGAATGGGATTAGGGCTTGTCTCAGTCCCTTTTCTTATTACAGGGGAGAAATACCAGTTACATGCAACTTAAAGGAGGAGAGGTTTAGTTTAGCTTGGGTCAGGTTTTTAGTCAGTAGCTGACTGGTTCAAAGCCAGGAAGTTATGGTGGAAGAGTCTGGCAGAGGAAAACTGTTCACATTATGGTGGCAAGGAAGCAGGGTGAAGGAAAGAGCCAAGAAAGGTGACATATTCCATTCTAGGTCAGGTCCCCACTGACCCACCTCTTCCCACCAGATCCTACCTCAAAAGCAGGTCAGTGATGGTACCCCATGAACCAGTCACCATCCAAGCACATGAGGCTTTGGAGGTCATTCTAGATGGTCCATAACAGGGCCCATAGGGAAGAGGCCCAAGGGTCCATTCTCTTTCACAGGTGAGGACACAGCAAGACACTGTGGGTCAGCAACAGGCTTTCGACAGGCACCAGGTCTGTTGGTGCCACCATTATGAATTTTCCAATCTTCAGAACTATGAAAAATAAATTTTGTGGTTTATAAGCTGCCCAATTTGTGTGTTTTTTTTTTTCACAGAAGCCCAAATAGACTCAGACAACTACCTCAGGAATTCTCTTTCTTATCCTATAATGTGTTACTAATCTCTTAGGTCTGATGTCTTCATCTTTCTGACTTTAGATACTTGTTCATTTTCTGGATGTAGTGACTTGTCATCATTTTCTAAGAAAGAGTATGCAAAAGATAATTTTTGAGACTGTGTCTAAAATGTCTTCATTCTGCCCTCAACTTCAGTTTGTTTGGCAAGGTGATGAAAGTCACTTTTTTCTTCAGAATGTTTAAGGCATCTTTGCATTGTCTTTTAGGTTCCCATGGAGGCGTCTAGGCCATCCTGATTTCATACCCCTTTGTATGACCTTTTCCCCTGTACTGTGGAGGCATTTAAAGATGTGTTTTGTTGCTGGTGTTCTGAAATTTCAGCATATGCTTTGATATAGGCCTCTTCAGTCTGGAAACGTGTGTCTTTCATTTTAATGCAATTCGTTTTAATTATCTGTTTAATGTTGCTTTCTCCTAACTGTTCTTGTGTTCTTTTCCCAAAGATCCTATACTTTGAGTGCTAGACATGCTGGGCTGATTATATATGTAATTTTTTGGCTCTTTTCTATTTTACATCTCTTTGCATCATTGAATTTTCTGAAAATTTGCTGAAACTTACCTTGCAGCTCTTCCATGTTTGTTTTTGTTCTTACATCATTTTTACTTATGACAGATTTTTGTTTGCTTCCTCAATGTTTCTGTTGTATGTGAAATTGTGTCCTTGTCCCAAAGATACATTGTCCTCTCTCACAGCTCAGAGAATAGCAAATATTTTAAGTGTCCTGACGCCTGCGTGATCCTGCTTCTTCCAAATTATCTTAATTTTCTTTGTGCATCTGCCCTTATTTACTGTGCTCAGTTGAAGACCTTGCCCTTGCGCGCATGGCGATCTGGTGTTTATATGTGAAAGTGAGAACTGCAAATGCCAAGGAATGGCTCCAAGTTAGTGCACAGGCTGTTAGCAGCAGAGTCTCCTGTGGAGGGAACTGGCCTGACCAGCACTCTCTCTCATTTACACCACTCTACCCCCTCAACTGTGCCCACTGTCCTCTTGCTTTAATGGCTTTCTGATGCACTTTCTCCCACCTTCTGCCAAGGTGAAAGAGAAGCAGTAGTTCCACTGCACTAACAGCTTCCTAGATAGATTTTCAACAAATTTTACTGTTTGTTATCAGCTGCCATTTACTCACCCACTTCCACGGTGACACCAATTTTTGACCCTGCAGGGAGTTCGTCAATGTAATTCTTGCTGTATTGTTTTGTTGTTGTTGTTTTTTTTTTTCACTTCATGCTTTCATTACTTATTTCCCACATTCTCTGATCGCTAAGTCAGTTATCCCGCTTGTATCCAGCTTCCAAAACTTCTCGTTGTATCCTCTGATTTTCCTCTTCATTGTTCCTTTCATATTACTTTGATGAGGTTTCAGAAAAAGGTGAAAGTACCTTCATGCAGTCAACCCACTGCTTTACCTAGAAGCTGGTCTGTAATGATCAGAGGAAACATTTTTGAAGACTTGATGTAAGGGGTGCACAGTTCCAAGAGGAAGTTCTGTAAATGTTACACTGCACATGCCCCAACACCTGCCAGTGGCTAGCTGAACTCAACTACGGGGAGCTCCACACACCTTCTCCCAAGTTGGAATCCTGACCCTGAACTCACTTTCAAGCCTCAGGAAGAAGATTCTCTGTCTCCAAAGCCTTATCTTCCCCTGCCTGAAGATGACCAACAATATGAACATGCATTGTCTTCAGGGAAAGTCCCCACTCTCATCCACTGGGTATGATTTTGCCGTGGGGATCCAGAAAAAGCAGCTGAAATGCTCTGTACATTTTCCTCACTGGTCCTTTCCACATGGAGGCCATCGAAATTTATGTCCAAGAAATGCTGAGGTAATTCTATTCCAGAATATATTCACAGTCGGTGAAGGCAGACTGAAGCAAGCACCCTTCCTGTCTCTGTCCACCGGCATGGGTCCATGTGAGGAAATTCTTTGCTGTATCTTCACAAAATAAAGCCATTTTCATGAACAGTCCAATCTAACCCAACGCATTACAAAATCTCAATTGTGTCAAGTCAGTTTTTGCTAGACACATATTTTAGATTACAAAATGGATTGTTCAGTTTCTCATTCTGTATCTTCGTTCAAATTTATCAAGAATTCTCAGTTCTCTGTAATACAGTGAGTAGTAATTGTATGATAAATGCCAGATTCAGACCCTCGGTTGAGGATGGTGATTATCTTGCCACCAATTGCATGAGCTATGGTTAAAGCACTGTGCACCTATGCCCTGTAAAGTCCTGCCAACTCTGGTTTGGGCAAAACTGGAAATTTATTACCACTTTCTGATCCTCTACCTGTGCTAATCACAGCTGAAGTCACAAGTCAATAATTCTGTTCTCTTGAAATTCAATAGTACAGACGTGTTATAGAAGTTTAAAAAAAATCACATAAAATTGCTGACATTCAATTTTTTTGACCTACAAACATAACTATTTCATATGATTCATCATAATAGTGAGAAAAGCACTTACAGTCAGGAAGCTCCGTTTTGAATCCTGGCTCTCTTGTGCAGTGGCTGTTGAGTTTTAGCAAGTCACTGAATATGTCCTGGGCTCATGTTTTCAGATGAAGCCTGCCATGTCCACGGCACTGGAGTATAGTGCAGATTAAATGAACAATGGAAGCCACTAACTCCATTATGTGGCCACTGAATTCATTAACAGAAAACTTGTTCATTTATTGTTTTATTTGATCTTCACAACAATCCTGTGGGGCAGATATGGAAAACAATCAATTGTTGAATTTTAGAGAGAAGAAAACTGATGCTCATAAACCCTAAATGGTTCACACAGGAGCAGGTAAACAGCACTAGAACCTAAAGCTCGTGCTTCTTGATCTAGTGAGTGGTTTTTTGTATTGTTTTATCTTTTGTTTTTTGTTTTTTTCTCTCGAGTTGTCCTTCTTTCTGGCCAGCAGAGCACTGTAAAGATAAAACCTAGAGCTGAGTGAGGGATTTAGCTCAGTGGTGCCGCCGCCTGCTTCACAAGCACAAGGACCCCAGTTCGATCCCTGGTACCAAAAAAGAAAAAGAAAAAACCTAGAGGAATCAACCAAATTCCAAGAATACTAGTGCAACAAAACACACAGCACCAAACCAAAGATTCATGATTTTTTTTTTTTTTTTTTTGGATAGGGCAAGGACTGACAATGTACCTGATTCTCCATTATATTTTCATTTAATCCCTACAGGAATTCTTTGAAAGAGGTAATAAATCCCTATTTCCTAAGTAATAAAGCTTGGGTCCAAAATGGCTTGGTAAGTTACTGAAGGTTGCACATCTTCTATTTGCACAAATCCCATGGTAATCACATTGAGTCAATTTTCATTGACTAGAAGATGGACCCAAGTTTTCTGTTCAAAGTCTAATGAAAACATAAAGGCTTGACTTCAAATTGCATGTTCTTGGAAGGTCATATAGATATAATTTAATAGAGAAGAATTCAGGAGATCCAGATTCCCTGGTTTGGCTCTGTGACCTTGGGCCAATCACTTAATTTTGAGCTTGTATCTTTCTCCATTCAATATAAAGCTGTCTTCTTCTAGCTTTAATATTGGAGATCCTGTCATTTAAAAGGTCACATCACTCCACCAAATGCACTCAACTGTCTACCTGAGGGTTACCGTGGGACAACCTGGGCTCCTGTGGGAGGCCTTGTGAGCCTGGTGCCTGGTGCCAGCAGCTGTTACCTCCATGGGGTCACACCAACAGCTCCTGCCACTAGCTTTCAATGAACATCTCTTATCAACTTCAGAACAGGGGATTTCAAACTGGGTTTTATTGGAGTGGAAGAACATATTGATGCAGCTGGGGCTAGAATAGCAGGTTCTCTTGGCATCCAGGACCTCTTCTGGATACTGAACTCATGCAGCTGTTTTCTGGAGAGAAAAGTTCAGAATGCTCCAGAGTGCTGCATGTTAGCAACCCGTCTTGCTTTGTTCCTTCAATGTCTGCATACTTCAGAAGTGTTGGCTCTGCCTAGACCGGTGTCCTGTTTTTCTTTGGTATCTTGATTAATTTCTATGGGCTTATTTAGTAGCTGGCATCTTGCTACCTAATGATATCTTTCCATAACCTCCTACTTCCCCTTTTTCTTTCCCCGCAAAGATTCTTTGACTGATCCTGCTCATGGCATGGGCTGTCACCATGGACGTGGCCCCTCACTCATGTTTGGTGGCTGACCTCTTTCCTGGCTTTATCTGCAAGTGCATGACTCTGCATGGAAGCTCTCACAGGGCAGGTACTGCATCCTGGTCACAGGCTGTGCCATTTCTTGTAGCCCTTGGGGCAAGAAACCAAGCAAAGTTTCAATCCCCAACTGTGGCTCTGTATATTGAGAGAGAAATCACCTCACTTCTGCCAATTCCTTGGCAGTTCTGAGGCAGTACTCTTCCTTAGTATAGCTCTTTCTGCTAAAGTCATGACCTGGGAAAGAGTGAATGGTATTAAGAGAGGTTCTGATCATATGAACATGATAATTAGATTCTCTTGGACAAAATTATTCTAAGCATAGATGGATTTAATTTTCTCCTAATACCCTGTGCTCTTTATTGTGTTTTATGTGAGGTCAATAAACACTCTTATTTTTCCTTTAGGATCTGTCAGTCCCCTGGTTATTGCTAAATGTCTTCTCTTTCAGTTTTGTTCAGAAATTCAAACAGGAAAATTCAAGTATCTAGACTTATTAACAGTCCTTCTAATGATGGTTGATGTTAATCATAATAAATCAAAATTACCATGAACTCCTAAAGTGATCTATGAATCATCCAAATAAAAGAAAAGCACATTCTGACCCATTTTAGAGACAAAATCATTACTCTTTGCTTCATTCATTTAATACACACCTACTGTGTGCATAGCATATGGACCTACCTAGGGGGCTGACAAGAGATATTATCCATCACAAATGACACATTCAAGGAAACTATGGTTCCTAAAGAAGGTAAAGTTGGTGCTAATGACAACAGCTTGCAGGGGAAAGTCATTTCCCAAGAAATGCAGAGATCAAGAATATGAGATTTCAGAAGATGAAGATGCCTGTGAAACTGAAGGCAGGGAGAAGAAGAAAAGCCTTCTCAAAGAAGAAAGAACTGACCTGAGTCCCTAAGGGTTGGTAGCATTGAAATGAGGAGAGACAAGAGGAGAAAATCACCCTGTATGGGAGAGTGCAGCCTGTTGAGAGGTGAGGGCATTTGCAGAGAATGGGAAGGCACAGATGGGGGTAAAATCGATATGCTGAGGTTGATCCTGAAAAACCTGGAGCAACAGCTTTATCCATCAGTTATGGATAGACTTTCAAGGTTTGAGTTGGAGAACAACAAGTTACTCTTCAAGATTAACCCAGAGAGAGACTGGGAAAGCAGGAATGTCAAAAAGCTATGACTCTCGCCCAGAGAAGATGAATTTACACTCTGAAAAAAATGGATTATATGTCAATAGCCAGTTAATCAGAATACTGGAAATTAAAATTGCATCTCCCCAGTGACTCTGAATAAAAGGAAATTTGCTGTAATTGGTGAAGAGTAGGGTAGTGAAAGGTTACATGTCCTGGAAGATGACGTCTTTTAGCGAGCTGGAGACGTGTGTCTAAGCATCACAATGAATTATGCTCTGAGTTATAAACACCTTCACCTTTCATGCTGTGTTTTATCTCAAACAATTATTTGGTCACCGGATATGAAAAGATGACACTTCATTAAGCAGGAGAGACTTAAAATGCTAAGTAAGGTAGATGAACTCAAGAAAGAGCCCTGTGGCAATTACAATTCAGAGGTGTGTTTGGCTATTGTTGCTGTCATCAGGAATAGCATCCACACAGCACAGAGATGTGTGGAATTTCTCTGCAACCATTTCCAGTGTAACTCTTGGGTTTCTCTATCTGGCCTGTATGTTGAGAATTTGGAGTAATAGCAACATTTTAAATAAATGTAATATATGACTGCATAATGATGTCGTAGAATACTGTTGTTATTTGAAATAAGTTAGCATTTTATATTTATTATATTTAGATTAGCACTTCTGATAATTACTTTATTTTTTCATTCCCAATCCCATTCCTCTTCTGCTCAGCATGTTTCTGTCTCTGCCAGAACAATTTTCAAGATTGGGCCCTGAGGTGCCAATTCTCTTTTCTAAAAAAAAGAAAAGAAAAAAGTAGATTCCCCAACTAACTAGTTAATCTCCTGCTCTCTCATTACTTTCTCCCTTAATGACGACAGGTAGTAACCTTCTCCAGAGACATCTCACCAACATTTATATTTCTTCCAAATTAGCAGAGTAGGCATCTCTCCAGATCATAAGGAATACATTTATTTTAAGATACAGTGGAGAGAACACAGAGAAATTAAAGTGTGTTTAATGAGAGCCACGGTAGCTTACACAAATTCTGGCTTGCAGAGAAAGCCTCAGCTCCATGCTGATGCCAGCTCTGGACTTTCTAGCCCAGTGCTATATTTCATACCTTCATCTAGTACTCTGGTGTTAGGTCATGGGACAACTTGGGAGTTCATAGCCAGGGAAAATTCAAAGAGGCACATTTTATCTCTGGACATAAATTTCTGCATCTCTCTCACATAGTCTGTCTTTAATTTCTGTATCACTCTTTTTTTTCTTATTCCGTTTATTGGTACATTTTAGGTATACAGTAGTAACATTCATTATTGGGATCTTGTACCTTTACATGACAGGTTTTGGTTCTCATTTCTTCCCCTTGTCCCTGCCCTTCCTTTACCCCCTCCTCTCTTCCCCATTTACAAACACTTTATTTCCAGTTTTTCATTTTCTTATATTTTTTTCTTTTCCCGTATTACCTTTCCCCTACCCTTCCCACTTTCCCTACACCTCTAGCCCTTTTCTTCCTACTTCACATTGCCAATTATCTCATTAGGATCTTATGTACTATTAACTATTATAGTTTTTCACACCAGAGAAACTATTCGGTATTTACACATGTGTGACTCATATATTTCACTTAGGAGTATATCCTCAATATGTATCCATTTTCCTATGAATGAATCAAATTTCTCTTTCTTTATGGCTGAGTAGTATTCCATTTTATAGAAAAACCACATCTTTTTTATCCAGTTTCCAACTGATGGGCCAATGGGCTGTTTCCAAGCTTTAGCTATTACAAACTGTGCCACTATAAACATTGGTGCACATATATCACTGTGATATGATTCTTTTAATTCTTTTGGAAAGATACTACCCAGCAGAGGGATGGCTGGGTCAAAAGGAACCTCTAGTCCCAGCTCTTTGAGGTTTCTCCATATTGATTTCCATAGTGGTTGCACCAGTCTGCCCTCCCACCAACAATGGAGAAGGGTTCCTTTCTCCCCACAACCCCGTCAACATTTGTTATTGTTTGATTTCTTGATAGCAGCCATTCTTTGTGGGGTGAGGTGGAATCTCGGTGTTGTTTTCATCTGTATCTCTCAAATGACCAGTGATGTAGAACATTTTTTCATATATTTACTTGCTGCTTTTACTTCTTTGTCTGAGAAATGTGTTTATTTTTGGGTCTTTATATTTGGGGAGGCTGATTGTTTTGAGTTCTTTATGTATTCTAGATAAGAGCCCTTTGTCTGAGGAGCAGCTGATAAATTTTTTTCCCCACATTGTAGGTTGTCTTTTAGTTCTGTGGATGGTTTCTTTTGCCGTGCAGAAGCTTTTTAATAAGATGAGATCCCAGTTGTTGATTCTTTGTAC